TGACTGTTGCAAGTGTTGTACGAGGGATCACATTTAAGAATTTTAATGTTTGAGCTGTTTTCGTACACGCGGAGTCTCTGTTTTGGCAGTGGGTGGGTCACGCGTCAAATGTATCACTAGGACATGGTCCTAGCACGGGACGCAGTGCGACAAGGCGTCGATGAACTCGAGGAGCACGTGGAACATCCGCAACGACGGAAGTTGTTGGCACATCTCTCTTCTCCTCTTCGAGCGTTCTCGAAATACGGAAGGAGACTTTAAGCTTTTCTGGAAAAGAAATATGTATGTTATAAAAATTATTTTTTTCTAATTTTTGGAATTTTTTGAAATTTTTGAATTGCTGCTGCGAGATCTTTGGTTGCTGTGAAATTTCATTTGTTCGAATTCCATTTGTATTTTAATCTGAATTTTCTTTTCTTGTTATTCGAACTGCTATTCCATTTATGTAAACGTCTTTATGATGGAATTAAAAATGTGAAATGTATTTTTGATACAAAATAAATAAAAAATTTAGAAATTATTATTTATTTATAGTTTTTAAAATTGTTTCTAAATTTTTAATATTTAATATTATGTATTTTAGAAAAAATCAATTGTAAATTGTTCTGACAAATTTATGTAAATCGACTTCTAATACTTCTAATGTATTCTAAGACGTTTCATAAATTTATTCTTAATTAATACAAGTGTGTTTTTTCTAAGTAAAATATCCTTTAAGAAAAAAATATTAGAAAAAAAATGTTCTTATAAAAATTTATTTTTATAAATTTTGTTTGTGTAAGAGGAATATTACGCAATATCAAAATTATTTTGTCCAAAAATTATTAATATGTAATTTAAACTTATTATATAAAATACAAGAGTAAAGTGATATCTATTGTTTTACATTCTTTTTGTCTTTTATATGATAAGTTTTATAAATTTATTCTATTCCGCTATATTTAGATAAAAATTTATATAAGAAGGACACTCTGTATAAAATTAAATATTTCAATTTTCAATTTCAGAATTTCGCCATAGTGTTAAATTTTCTTGATTCAAATAGAGATAAGTCAAAATATGATGAAACGATAGCCAAGTATTAAATCGTTCACTAAGTTTTATAGGTCACTTATAAATAATGATACACTACATTGAATTTATATTTCACATTATAATATTTCTCAAAAGTTATAACAAAATAACAAATTTTGTAATATACCAATGTTCGATGATGTGCTGTTAAAATTATCAACAAAACGAAATAAATTAGTATAAAAATTCATTTTCTATTCAATCTATTCTCCAAACACTACATTTTTAATTATCGCATTTAATATAATAAAAAGTGGCAAAAAAATCTTATAAAAATAAGTAAAATTCAATTTCTGTTAAAATAATTCGAATAAATCAATTAATTGATGCATAGATGTTATTTAAATTAAAAAAAAATTAAAATGAAATTATTTTAATAAATATTATAAAATAAAAAATCTACAAAATATAGTGAATCTAATATTTGTTAATTAAACGCTCAAAGTTTTTTAATTACAAAAAATTTATTATAATAAAAGGAAATAATGATTTATTGAATTAACCTTTCTGATATTTCAACGATGCATCATATAGAATTAAAATCTAAAAGAATTCTTCACATTAGATAGAGTAGGCGAGCATATAAATAGGAAAATTATTTCTAATTAATTCTTTTAATTGATTCAATTAATTCATGAAAAGTTTCATTTCTATTTTTTTATATAACACAGAATTAAAATATACCATATATATCCATCAAATTACGATTATTCTTACACCTTTTATACAGATATAGATATAAATTAAAGACTTTCTCTATTTATATATTCTCAGTGTACATACTTCCGTATAGAGTCAATGTAGCATGATGGTTCATGAATATTTAGTAAAATTATTGAAATCTCTTTTTGTTGAAATATCTTTTTAACAATATACAAGAAAGCTTGTTAAAAGAATAGACAAGAGAAATAGTGAAAATTTTGGCGGTATGCATGCGGCGTTCCATTCTAATGTATATGCCAAGTTCTCAAGACCCGGGAATGCGGACAGATTTGTTAAATAACGCGGATATATGTATGCAGGTTGGCCGAGTATACGCAGTGATACATTAGACAGCGCGCACGGCAATTTGATTTACAAAGCAGTGCTACTTCTTATTCCACCAGTTGCGGCAGATGACTGTTTTCACACGCGAGAATCGCAATTTATGATAAAAGTACCAAGCGCAATTACGAGAGACTTATTATGTTTAATTGGTAGAATGTTGTCGCGGACTGATGCGTTTTTAGACAGCGGAAAGTCTTTTCTGTTGAGATCAAATATTTTGTTCCAATTTTGAAAAATTTTATCATTTAAATTTCATAAATCTTTGTTGTAAATTTCTATTGAAATAATATTTAAATAAAAAATAAGAAAGACTTGACACCCTATTCAAATAAAAGATTCTCTTGCATTTTCGTTACATCTTTAGTACTTGATTATAGAAATATAAATTACAATAAAATAAATTATTTGCAAAAATATAAAAATAAAAAATTCGATATATTGTGTTTTGAAAACATAGGAAAACAATAATCGAAATAACATACCTGCAAAACTAATATTGACGTATCCAGTGATTTCCTTTTTATGCTCTATGAAGATATTACGTCCTTCGTGTCAAAAATTCTGGGACAAGTCCTTGGAGAATACACGAGAACACATAAACGAAAACCGGGAAAAGCGCGCTCAGTGTTGCTGTCAGTGACAACACACTCGAGATAATACATTCGATCGCGAAAGTGGCATGAAACTCACTGGGTCTGTTGGCAACGTGACGTTAAGTTGATTTTAGAAGACCTTGAACCACGTGAGGGAATTCGAGCTCGCAGAAGAACAAGACGTCAAATACTGTCGGCAAACACGGACGAGACGGGAGGCATGACCGAACGGCATCCGCACGCTGTCACTTTTGTTTACTGTCCGAAGGCGAACATCGGTTCGAGAGAATCATGCGACTCCGACACGATTCGACGTTGATCGATGATGTTCGATTGCATATCGTGCGATCTCGATTTGCGATTCTTCCTGTTACTAGCACGATTTTTTTAATCTACCACTCTGAACGATCGGTAGGTCGAGTAAACAGTGGGACACCACGCACATCCGATTTGAATTTTTTCGATAGACCGTCCACCTTGGAGTCACAATTATACACCACTATACGCACTATGCACG